TACAGTCTGCTGCTCTGTTGTACTGAACACATCAGGTCATGGTGATGTGGTGTATTTTGACTAAACGTTTTCAGCTAAATCTGACTGCCATTGTTCATACCTAGCTTGCTCTATGTTAGCTGTACTGACAACTATAAGCTAACAGAGTCAGAATGAAGCCCACATGAGTGGAAGTAAGAAGTGTGAAGTCATTTGTGGTCCAGAGGTTGGCAGGAAGCTTCTTCTACTAGCCAAACTCTTCACGGTTCAACGCTGCTTCATTCAAAACTCAAATTTTCTCATTGTAAAAATTGGGGACACACTACATGAACTTTAATAGCTATCCCAGAAGAAAAAAAAAAAGCAGGTTTTCACACGACCAGCCTGAAAAACTAAGGATCACACACTTAGCAATGTAGCCTGTGATCCTACTGAGGGACCAGACTTAATATAATGAACCAACATAAACCAACTGAGAGCTTCAGACACTCGTGGAAACTCTTGCGAAAGCGACAGATTAAAGGAACAAACACACCAGCAGATGTCATGACAGAGGATAGTCTCTGAATCTAATATGTATTTATACTGTTCCATAAAATAAATGAAATGCAATTTAATATGTTCAGTTTAACTCACAGGGGAATATAATTTTAGACAGGTTCTTTTAATAACGCATGTATAAGTTTGGAATTTTGTGGGTTATGGAATGACTGACCATGTGGCTGTATTTTAACAATACAGTCATTTCAAACTTAAAAAAATCATAGGAAAATGTTTGGAGTTGATTTCACAAAAATATAAATAAAGAATGTTTGAAAAATTGGTTTAAAGAATTGATGTTTTCAAAAGCCTCAATACCTTCATGTGCAAAACAAGATGTTTGGTTCTGATCCAGAGGTTCTGGTCAAATTCTGGTCAGGTTCTGATCAGGCTCTGGTCGATTGACCTAGGGCAACAACCAACCAAGGTGACCAAAGCACTTTACAGTAAAAAGATATTACAAAAAAAGGAAATGCAAAACATAAAAATAAAAAAAATAAAAAAAAGGGAAGTGTCCCTGCCTGCATGGTGTTAAGAGCCTGTGAAAAGAGGCTTGAGCTCAGACCCCAAGGCGAGCAGGTCAGAGGTGGAACGAAACTGTTGCAGAGTTAGCCTTGTCCTTGGGAAAGATAATAAGACACGCGGAAGGCGGAAGGCGGAAGGCGGAAGGCAGCGTCTTTCCTTCTCTTTAAAATCTAAAAACATACTGTCAAGTGCAACCAAGTTTACACCCTTTATTTTTAATAATTTATTCTCTGGAGAATAAATTTCTTTCAAAAGATTTATTTGAAAATGTAAACAATTAAATAAGAATCACAGGTTGAATCTTTAATCATGCAATGAGGCACTGCAGCTGGATGTTGGTAAAAGCTGAAAAAACGCTGTTTTCTTTTTTTCCCTAACAATAAAAATATCACTTCTTTCTTTGCATGACCTGGTTTGGTGACCTCCAGGATTCTCATGAACAGGAAGACTTAAAAGTTCAGATAAGTAAGAAGGGGAAAGGCCATTAACAGCTTTATAAACAGTCCACATTTAAAATCAACTCTAAAGTTAAGAGGAAGTCAATGTGAAGAGGATAAAACGGGTGATGTGATGATGTTTAGCTTATTTTACGTAACTCAGCAATCTGTACTGCTTATCTTTGTTTGCTGAACCTGAACTCTTCCTGTATTGCTGATGTTTATTTTAGTGTAACTACTTAACATACAGTTTAGTTAGATCCACACTAAAATTAACACTGTTAATTTTAGTGTTAATTAGTCTCCCTTCTTCTGATCCTCAGTTTTCCTCTGATTAGTTTCACACTATTCTAATGTCACTCATTCACCTTCCCTGTAGTTAGCAGTCAGTCTATTTGATGACTTCTTTGACGGATCCTTCCATAGTTGGTGGAATCCCTGTGTGCCTGTTACTGTTATTACTAGCAAACTGAGACTCCTATTCTCAGGAGGTCCATATCAATACAGCATAGCAATAAAACAACATATTAACATTTAGAAGTTGTTAAAAAAATACTTGCAAAATCAGCATCAATCAAACATTTATTAAAATAATAGGCTTGTTTATTAATCAAATAATATTTCAAAACGTTGAACACAAACCTGTTTTTATCAATAAGGGTTTACATGCAAGTGATAGAGTTAGACTGAACAATTGGTGTAAGGTCTGGGGACCAAATGGCTTTTATTTTTTCTTGTATTTCTCTCTGTCATGACTTATTGCAAATGAAACCACCTCCACAGTAGATCACGTGACAGTGGGAGTGTGTGGAGGTTCACGTGCCCTCCAACAATCTGCTCAATTCTGCTGTTATAAAGAAAAATGGAACTTTTTTTGATAGCAGCGCAGGCTTCTGCAGGGAGCTGCCTGAGTGAGAGACTGTCTCCAGAAGAGGCAGGAGGAGCAGCGGGGAGCAGTAGGAGGTAGGAGCTGCTTTATTCTGGCTATTGTTGCTGTTTACATCTGGAGTTTGAATGAATTTTTAGTGGGATTTTTCTCTTAATGTAAGATGTACAAATCAAAGAGGTTTTATATTTTAACTGTGAATGATCTGAACGCTGGAAAATATCCCCTACTTTGCAGGAGTCACTCCTTTTTCTAAGTCCATTCAGAACTGAACAGCAGGTTTTCTGCTGCTCCCGCAGAGAGCATTACAGCAGGACCATCTCCTGATTATCAGCTGCCTGTGGTTAATTGATCTGCCTAATTGGAATAAGGGCGTTTACAGAAACAAAAACAACTGCAGAGCTGCGTAAAATCCTTCCCAGTCAGGTAGTCACCAGTAGTGGTCTCTGGCAAACTCGTTTGTTTTTAATTTTACAGATATCAATTTCATGAGAAATAAAACCAGAAACATGGCTTTTGGTTGGAATGAAAGGAAGCAGAGAGGATGTGAGTGAGCAGGCAGAGAGAGCAACGCTTGGTTCGGCCTGAAGCTGGAGAATAAAGCAACAACTCAGAGAATCAAGAGTCTGTCAGCAGCCACGTCAGACTGCCACACACACACACACACACACACACACACACACACACACACACACACACACACACACACACACACACACACACACACACGTCACCAAGCAGATATATAGTCACTCTGGCATCTGATTTATGGACGGGACGCGCCGCAGCCTCACGCTCCATTTGCTGTAAAACCACAGGCTTATAACTCACCTGCAGACCAGCGGCCTCCTCCTCAGCCAGCCGTCGCCGCGCAGTGATGCTGCCGCGGGCCGCTCACACACACACGCACACACACACTGCAGTGTGTCCAGCAGAGCTGTGACCAGATCGCGATGAGGCTCGGTGTCGCTTCAGGATATTTATACAGCCATTCTGCTCACTTCATTTCTCCTCAGACGTTTCAGGGCAGAAGAAGTTTCTCGTTAATAATTAATAATGCGGAAACGCACAGCTGGCCTGAAAGTCCGCAGATTTTAAACTCCGTCGTTTTTCAGCGGGTTGGGGCGTTTCTGTGATAGAGTGTTTTTTCATGTTTTTATAGTTAAAGGATTTTTTTTTTTTGTCATTTAAAAATCAGACACGTAAAATTTGAAGGTAGTTTTTTTTCTTCTGTTTTTCTCCTGCATTTCGGAACTTACTGATGTAAAAAAACAACAACAAAATCTTAGAACAACAATATTACTGACCCTCCACTATAGAGGCCGACATAACCACATGAAATGTCATCTATTTTTTATTAAAAATGCAAAAGGAGTGTATTTTGAGCCCACAAGCTAAACATTAGAATGAAAAAGGAAAGTTTTATTGTTAACATTTCCTGCTCCTAAAACACTCCGAGGTTCATTCAGGAATCTGGAGGAAATGCTTCGGTCTGCAGGATCAACAGATCAACGTAAAGTCCAACAAGCTCACAGCTCAGTGTGTCCACTTCAATCCGATGGTTTCACATCTGGAACATTTTCAGCTCGACACAAAATGTTTCTGTTGAATCTAAAACCATTATATTTAAAAATGCTGATATTTGTTGTGACTGTTTTCAAATGTTCTGTAACACTTTAGCTTTAAAAGAAATCAAGTTTTTAATCTATTTAATGAGATCCAAACGACCTTCAATTGTTTATTTATTGTGTTTGTGACATTAACGGCTCAGGATCTTGGAACCTCGCGGGCCCTTCTTCATGAAGGCCCCTGTTAGAAAGTTTCATGCAAACGGCTTGATGTTGTTTAAAGGACAAAAACATGTTGCGCGAAAATTATCCTTATTATAAATAACAATAAAATGTTATGGGACCATAGAGGACAGAAAGGTCCACTCTAGTGTCTTACTGCGGCGCTTTAGAGGACAAACAGGTTGGCACTGATCGGCTTTAGTGAGAAGATCAACATCATACAGTATTGTATTTATTTGATATTATGATTCATAGTTAGTTGATCTACTGAGTTTTGGATTGTGGCCCCCTAATGACGTGGTGGTCAGGAGGCAGTAATGAGTCCCACTGATTGGGTGAATGAACACCAAAGAAAAGCCAGGTCCACGTCCAGGTCCACGTCCAGGTCCACGTTTAGGTCCAGGCGGTGAGGGGACTGTTTGTCCAGAGAGGCCGGTGTGGATGTTAAAGTTCTGAGGCCGCCTGGGAAAATCCTGCTCTGCGACAACTGGAGGGCCAGAGACTAATCACTCTCTGTTGCTTTCACACTGCAGACAGCCAGTAGTTGTGTGTGTGTGTGTGTGTGTGTGTGTGTGTGTGTGTGTGTGTGTGTGTGTGTGTGTGTGTGTGTGTGTGTGTGTGTGTGTGCGTGTGCGTGTGCGTGTGCGTGTGCGGTGTGTGTGTGTGTGTGTGTGTGTGTGTGTGTGTGTGTGTGTGTGTGTGTGTGTGTGTGTGTTCAAGAACCCCCTGTCTCCCGCCCCCCTTTGGGCGCAGAGAGCGCACTGCACAGGCGCAGAACACAGCTGGGGTTCTGGAGAAGCTGAACGGTTCTAAACAGAACCGACACTCCGACAGTCCAGCCACTGCCAGCGGACTGCTACAGCACTGGACCCAGAGCCGCGCGTGGGCACCTCTCCTGCCTGCGCGTGCAGCCGCTGACCGAGAGGAAGGCAGGGCGCGAGGCAGACAGACAGACAGACAGACAGGTCATCGTCATGATCAGCGGCGCGCGGGGATGATAGGTGACCGCGTCAGGTAGGATGAACAGCAGCGGCTGCTGCTCACCAGCTGCCAGGAGCATCTGAAAGTTCAGCGAGGCGGTGTGTTGGTGTTTGCGGTGTGTTGGTGTTTGCGGTGTGTTGGTGTTTGCGGTGTGTTGGTGTTTGCGGTGTGTTGGTGTTTGCGGTGTGTTGGTGTTTGCGGTGTGTTGGTGTTTGCGGTGTGTTGGTGTTTGCGGCGTGATGAGCAGAGCGGTGAGGAGAAGAAGGTCAGGACTCTGAGCCGCGGTCAGGACCTCCCGGTCGGCCTGACAGCGGGACGGAGCTCCAGCTTCTTCATCACGTCTTTATTTTCGCCAGAATTACTCAAACCTCTGCTAGATTTACATGCCATTTCAATGACTTTTGTTCAAGAAACTAAACGTAGCTCTTAAAAATAATAAAACAATAACATTAGATTTTTATAATAGGCTATAGGCTATATTATAGCTATAGGCTACTTGCTTTTATTTACGTTTATTAAAAATGGAGTGTCTAAAATTATTAATAGCATTTTTAATAATCAGTGAAAGGGCAAGCTCTTCCTAAACTGCTGACCAGCTTTTTGCGAGTTTCCACTTGTGTTTTTGTGAGAACCGAAAATGTTTTGAGGCTGGAAGGCCTCCTCGCCATCACCCTAATCTCTGACTCCTTTCACAGATTAACTGTCAGATTCTGGTCAGAAGTCTGGTTCGGCTGATCCAAAACGTTAATTTTACCACCAATAACAAGAAACGTGTTGGAGTAATTAGATTATTACACATAAATAATCTAAGTTGAGTTCATACTGTATTTATTTATCTGTTTAGGTTTAAATATTTTTTCTTTCTTTTTCTTGTTATTGACATTTTACAAATAGTGTACGGGTTCAACTTTTGCAATCTCACTTTAATTATAATCTTTTAAATACTACTACTATAATACTACTACTATAATAATAATGATAATTATTATTATTATTAGATATATAGTTAAACTGATTACTCCTCTGAATTATTATAATTCAGAGGAATATCTTTTTTTTCCAAAATAATTATCTCAAACAATAAGATTGTATAGCTATTGTAATTTAAAAAATTTTATTTTATTGCTCCTAAACATGAATTTGGATACATATTTTCCTCAGAGCAGGTAATCTGGACAGTCAAAGTGCTTTGAATGTATTTTTTCACAACAGTGTCTAGATTTTGGGCCTCGAAACTAATGGCTACATGTCAGATACAGCGGGTCGATCAACAGAACCAACAGTCCATTTGTTGCAGCCTTTGACGTTGTGGCTTTTATCAGTTAGTAATATGCTTTGGGGAATATTTTAAATATTCACGGCAGAGGGTAGACCGCATAACCTCTATAACATTGCTGCTTTCCCACTTGAACTGTATGTGCGTTGATCAGTAACAATAATGTTTGCTGTACAGAGAGATTTTTCCTGGTCGGAGTTTGTAGACATGTGATTAGTAACATTGTTTATTACTGCTGCACAGGGCGCTATTCTTCTTCACTTGGGCTTTTAGTGTTTTAAAAGCAGCGAGCTTTAAAGCAAATACTTCTCAGCACCAGCAGAAGGTACAGTCCAGATTCCTTTATGGGTTTTTCACACATTACAATACATCTGCTGCCGTTCTGAACATGCAGAAATGATGGTAGTCTGTTTTCATTTGCCTGATTTTATATCTTTCTAGCTTGTTTGAGACAGTAGTGCGAGCATTTTCACGCTGAAAACGAAAAGCTGAGTGTGGCTCATAATTCCTGGTTCTACTGGATCAGTGAAAGGCCCAGATTCACAGTGTGGTTTCTGCTCTGTCAGCTGTTATCTTTATTAGCTTTAACAAATGTCTCTGTTCGTTTACATTGCACGCTTTCTGGTCCACTTTGTTGGCTTGGAGAGTGGCCGTTCTGTGTTCACAGAGCCACTGCACCAACAGTCAGCCCTGAGGAATAAACAGTAGAAGGTTCTCAGGCTATGGGAGACAGCAGCAGGATACACTGCACAGGTTTACCTGTGGGCAATCACTTTTCACTGAAGGTAACTGCAAATGACTGTAACGTGCAGGAGGTACAACATATTCTAAAAGTCTAGAATAATGATTTTAAAAAGAAAATCATTCAAATAGCTCAGTTATATTACATTTATATTCCATACTAAGCATGACTAACACTCATGTAGGAGTGTCTCCCATGTCTCGCTGGTCACTGCAGCAGCACAGTGAGGGTCTCCCATGTCTCGCTGGTCGCTGCAGCAGCACAGTGAGGGTCTCCCATGTCTCGCTGGTCGCTGCAGCAGAGTGAGGGTCTCCCATGTCTCGCTGGTCGCTGCAGCAGAGTGAGGGTCTCCCATGTCTCCCTGGTCGCTGCAGCAGAGTGAGGGTCTCCCATGTCTCGCTGGTCGCTGCAGCAGCAGAGTGAGGGTCTCCCATGTCTCGCTGGTCGCTGCAGCAGCAGAGTGAGGGTCTCCCATGTCTCGCTGGTCACTGCAGCAGCAGAGTGAGGGTCTCCCATGTCTCGCTGGTCGCTGCAGCAGAGTGAGGGTCTCCCATGTCTCGCTGGTCGCTGCAGCAGCAGAGTGAGGGTCTCCCATGTCTCGCTGGTCGCTGCAGCAGAGTGAGGGTCTCCCATGTCTCCCTGGTCGCTGCAGCAGAGTGAGGGTCTCCCATGTCTCGCTGGTCGCTGCAGCAGCACAGTGAGGGTCTCCCATGTCTCCCTGGTCGCTGCAGCAGCAGAGTGAGGGTCTCCCATGTCTCGCTGGTCGCTGCAGCAGCACAGTGAGGGTCTCCCATGTCTCCCTGGTCGCTGCAGCAGCAGAGTGAGGGTCTCCCATGTCTCGCTGGTCGCTGCAGCAGCAGAGTGAGGGTCTCCCATGTCTTGCTGGTCGCTGCAGCAGAGTGAGGTCTCGCTGGTCACTGCAGCAGCAGAGTGAGGGTCTCCCATGTCTCGCTGGTCGCTGCAGCAGCAGAGTGAGGGTCTCCCATGTCTCGCTAGTCGCTGCAGCAGCAGAGTGAGGGTCTCCCATGTCTCGCTGGTCGCTGCAGCAGAGTGAGGGTCTCCCATGTCTCGCTGGTCGCTGCAGCAGCAGAGTGAGGGTCTCCCATGTCTCGCTAGTCGCTGCAGCAGCAGAGTGAGGGTCTCCCATGTCTCGCTGGTCGCTGCAGCAGAGTGAGGGTCTCCCATGTCTCGCTGGTCGCTGCAGCAGAGTGAGGGTCTCCCATGTCTCGCTGGTCGCTGCAGCAGAGTGAGGGTCTCCCATGTCTCTCTGGTCAATGCAGCTTTGTCCCAACAATCCTCATCAGACAGATTGTGAGCAGGTGTTGCTGTCGAGGTTCTGAAGCAAAGATTCAGTAACAGAGAGCTGTCTGAAAAGCCGTGTCTTTGCCTGTGACCAGTCGGTCTACAGGAATTTTTTCGCCACGGAATTTATCGACGCAGGTTTTGAACGTTTGCTGATCTGGGGTATTTTGAGACTCCTGATGCTCAAACTTTAAACAAATCAAACAGGCAATGAAATGATTATTTTTGTCCTAATTGTGAAATTTAATCTGAAGCTGAATTCTAAAAGTATTTTTTTAGTTCTAGGAAGGGAAAATTTAAATCGTGATTATGTGTTTTTTACTAATTTAATGAATTTAATTTATTTTGTAAGAAGAACATATAATTTTGAATACTTCTAAAAATACACCAGATTTTTCTTAAAGGTTATTTATCATCTGATGATCCTGGACAATGTTTAGAAAGGACTATTCAATGAAGGTTAAAATTACTTAACATAAACTTTAAATAAATACAAAAAATACAAGCAATACAATCTGTAAATATAAAATAAGAAAATCACAAGACAATCAACATGTATAACAAGTAATTAAAACTAAACTAATCCTCCACCTAGACAGCAAAACACAGATGGACATGTAGAGGAGAAGGTTCTTATTAGTCTGATGTGTGATCAACCAATCCCTTAATTGCACTTTAAATAGATTATAAGTGGTAAAAGCTCTTATTGTCCAAAACAATGATGTATTATTTCATAAAGAATCAGAAGAAGGATTGGATCATTTTTTAAATGTTTACTGTCTTTACTGATCATAGTAAACCTCTCTAAAGTCGTTACTTTAAACGTACATTTATTTTTTTAATCTTTAAGCACATTATTAAACCTTTAGTTTCCCTCCACAGTTTGAAATGTAAATGTTGTTTCACATTGTACATATTCGTGTTCTACAGTCGAAACAGCGTTTTTACATAATTATAACTTTATTTAAATAAAATGAAATAATTTAAATGACTGTTGGATAATCAGCAGAAACTCTTTGATAACTCATTTCCTAATCTTGGCTAATATGAAGAATGACTGGAAGGATTTAATGTGGTTATTTGTTCAAGTGAAAACTTTGGACAAACACACACAAACACACACACCCACACACACACGCACATAAACACACATCATGATGATGAATTTTTCAGAATAAAGTTTCACTGCATTTCAGGTTATCACTGAACTATCACAATATGGAATTAAATTGTGTTATTAAAAGGAATAATAAATAAGTATAAATATGAAGATATATGTTATTAATTATTTAAAAATAAGGCATTTACTTAATAACGTAAAGATGAAAACTGAAAATGACTCAATTAAAATGTTTTGCTTTTTATTTTCATCTAATATTATTCAACCCAAAAAAAGATGAGTTGGAAAAAAACAAGACACAACGTCAACAAACCAGAGACTGAAAACGTAAAGCTTAAAAGCCGACAGTCTTTTAAGCAGTTTTCCTCAGAGTGAGGAAGCTGCCGTTTCACAGACCAAATACATTTTCCTCATTACTCAAATCACAAATGAACCTGAATGAGATCAGCCAGCGGTGGTGGCGGGGCATGCAGGAGAGCAGCCACTCTTGGTGAAGAGAGTCTCGATTCAGGTCTGCATCATGATGACCCCTCCTCTGACCCCTGAGTTATCTCCTCTCTGCTAACTTTGAAAGCTGAGTATTTGTGTAATGCTGCAGAGATGCTGCAGGAGAAGGCTTCAGCTGTGACGGATGATTGTGTGAGCCGGGTCCAGGCTGACGGCGAGACGGATCTGTTTACAGACCAGTCCCAACTTGGTGCGCCCACAGCTCCCAGCGCTCCCACCTCGGCTGGGCCTCACCAGGTACAGATGAAAGCTGGCTGACCAAATGTTCTGGCTGATTTAAAGAACCCAATAATTTTTCACTGACAGCCAGAGGTTCTTTTAATTAGAAATATGTAAGCTTGTTGGCAGTACAAACAACATCTGAAGTCAACCTGTGACTAATTATGCACTAGTTAGTGAAATGCTGGAATGTATTTACGTTTAAATACATAGAATATTTTACTATCTCATTTTTTATATGTTGGCATGTAAAATTCAGCTGCAGTGGATGGTTGAAGTTATGCAGAGGGATTTTATGCTCTCTTTCAGAACATTGAGAATATCAAGGTGGTCCTTCATGAGAGGGAGCTGTGGAAGAGGTTCCACGAGGCTGGAACTGAGATGATCATCACAAAAGCTGGAAGGTCAGTAAAAGCTTCATGTCTTCAGTCTGGAGCAGATCTGTGTGTGGTTTGGTTTCCTACTTGTGGCATGTGGAAAAATGTGTGTTTTTATAGGCAGAGGGATGTTTTGTCTCTGCAAGTTGAGGGGTCCAGAATTGAGCTGACTTTATTATGAATCAGATTAATCACGATGAATCAATGATACAAATAATGATCAACTAATTTGGTAATCAATTCATTATTAATTTGAGCATACAGACTTTAAAAAAGGTCATTTACTGAAAGAACAATGGATTAAGAGCAGTAATGAAGCAAGAACTGAACAAAAATACATTTTATATTTAATATTAATTCAATAACACAATGCAAACGGTTGTCGTCACATGCTCATTCAGCAGGAATGAATCTGCAGGGTTTTCTTAGACAGAAACATTTTAATCTACTTCAGTAATTAATTGAGCATAGCGCACGGTTTAACTAAGATCAATTGGAATCCATTTGTGATTGAAATGAAGTTATTTTTTGTAAAGTGCCTTGAGAAAGAATTTGATGTGAACTGGTGCTATAGAAATAAATGGAACTGAATTGAAATAAAAACTTTCTTTGTCTATAAATTTGTTGCATCCAGAACTTCTCTAAAGGCTTTTTTAACTTCACCTGGTTCAAATTCTGGACCTTCATAAACCTTTTGCTTTCCAATTCTTAACTGGTAAATTCAAAAAATAATCACAAATGTTTTAGCAATAATATCAGATATTATTGATCATATGTAATAAGAGGTTTATTTTTCTTGTTTTGAAAATAGCTTAATTATTGTTTATGTGCATACTTTAATGTAATAATCATTAGTTTCAGCCCTAGAGTTACACTGGGGAATTCTTGAGAAGATAATGTGTGTGTGTGTGTGTGTGTGTGTGCTATACTTGTGTTGCAGATTATCTCACTCTTGGTAAAAAGCTTACAAATCACAACACCTTCTTGGAATCCCAAGCATTGCAGTGGTTTATAATTGATGATTTTTCTCCTGTTTGAAGAGAACTTTTCAGACTGAAAAGTGATACATAAGTTTCAGATCAAAAACTCTATATTGGAATTAAAGTTTTCAGTAATTATCTTTAATGTAAACTTTGGTTGAATTATAAAACATTATATTTTAAAGTAACATAAAGGCAAAGCTGGAGAAGAATGGCAGATCAGCAGATGTGCCCAGGGCAGCTCCGCCCTGCAGCGGCTGCACAATCAGAACTGCAGTTGGGTTTTTTTCCAGGGCAAGGGAAGGATAGTGAAAGGTATTGGAGCCTACAGTCCAGGATTTATGGATCACAACTAGTGATAGAGTTCAGTTATAATCCCTTTGCTGAAAGAAATAAAGTTTTCTACACATCACCAAAAAAAAAAAAAAAAAAAACAGCTCAGTGTTTTCTGTGCTGAAAGCTGCTCCCATTCTTCAACATTTGTGGAGCAAGTAACAGTAAGTCTTTGTGATGAGAATGATACCTCTATGCTGCCACTTGTGTGGACAGATAAAATTAACCGAGAGACGGAAAGTTCCTGCCACATACATAATTGAAACCACAAATGACTGCTGGCCTTGTTGGATTTAATGCGGCCTGAGGATTACGTAGTGAAGCCTTTGGACATTAACCAGAGATTGAGAATACTCACATCGACCTCTGTCTCTCATTCCTCACTCAATGATCTTTTTTCCAGTAAAAGGTCACCACATTTTTTGCTTAGAGCTACATAACTATAGAAGATAGACTTTGGCTTCCCAGGCTGACAGAGTGGTTTCTGAAGACTTTTACATCCTTTGAAGAACTAAGTAGTGATGCAGGCTGGAGGCCTCCTGGGTTAACCTGCAGCCAGTCTGAGGCCAGACTGCAGACTGCAGCTGATGGTCCCTGACTAGTTTTAACTGGACTCATTCTGCAGCTGCTTCTGCAAGTTCCTATATAAAAATAGGATTTTTTAATTTTTTTTGCTAAATGAATTCTGATAACGCAATTTTTGCTCTGTTATTTCAAAACCCTAAATAATTACACACTTCTCTGTATCTGCATTTCCATTACAAATGTGCGCAAAACTGTAAAAAAAACTGTAAAAATAAACAAAACACTTTTGCAATTGCAGTGCATACATTAAATAAGTCATTACAACAACATTATCCTCTTACATAGTGGGAGGATGATGAGTAGTAACATGACTCTTATAATGCGAAAAAAAATAATTCCATTGCAGTTTTGTGAAATATACTAATTTTTATAGAGCTGAAAAAATCATCTCATCCTACCAGAAAAACCTTTTATCAAAAAACTTTTTTTTATAAAAGAAAAATGTTGAAATTTAGAAAATGTCCATGTTTTCTAAATGAGCAAATTTATTTTCATAATTCCAATTTGGGCTGTTGTATGCTCAGTGTTTAGTCTGGGTCCTAATGAAACACATGTTTCTGATTGTTTATCAAACCTGAAAACGTCTGTGACAATATGCAAAGTGGAATTTGTTGTGAGCCATTTTTCTACTGTTGAACAAAATTCCCAAGCATTGCTGTTAGAGCTTTATTTTAAAATTGCTGGTAGTTTAAGGGGATTTTAATAAAATCAATATTTCAAAATAACAAATTCAAAAAATGTCAGCAAAGCAGGTGAATTTTTCAAATATTAATTTTTTACACAATTTAGAAAGAATTAGTATTAGTTTCTTTTTTTTCAGTGTAATGGTCATAGAACAGCCATGTCTGAGACAACAGACCCCTTGCAGAAAGTTTTTGACACTAACAGACCAATGGATTGATTTATAACGTGCACCAAGACAAAAAAAATGTGATGTGAGTTTGAGAATGCTATCTATGAGGTGTGAAGAGGGTGAGTGCAGAGGCGATGGGGAGGAAGGACAGATGCAAACCCACATTTTTAACATTTCTCCAACACCAGCTCGCTCCTTTCCTTAAACAGCACCAACTGGGTCCGTTGCTTGTTATGATGAGTGTCACTGTCCAGGCCTAATCCTCACTCTTCAAAGCGCCAGGCACAGTGCAGTTCTTCCCTCACTCTCCTTCTTTGTACACAGCCCGTCAGTGAGCCGCAGCAGCAGGCTGATAAGAGAAATCCGGCGCCCTCACTAGGCCTGAGTACTACATTTGGATCATTTCATCACCCCACACACACTTTAACCCCCACCTCTGATGCTCCTTTTGATCTGGCCATAGTGGTGGAGATTTCTTGAGAAGGAACGGATCGCTGGAGGCCCTACACATGTGGGACTGTTGGGAGAAACAGCTGGCTGGCCAGAAAAACACATGTACACCCTGACACTGATATCACACATGGACTCTCCAACTGCCGTTTCTCATGCTTCTCTTAAACTCACTTAGTCACACCAAAAAATGGAGGGAATACTGTTTGTCTTTGGTGATCGGCAGAGCTGAACTCTCTGACATTTTAAAATGTGTGTTGATCTTCCATCATCATGTAGGAGCACTGTAACCACAGAGCTCAGAGCTTTTTATGCTGCTCATATTCATCTGAGCTCTTCGTCTTTTGTTTCTCCTTATTCATGTTTAGACTTCGATCATCGGTTTCAGACCATTGTCTGTATGTGATGAGCATCAAATAAAGTCACAATAAATACTCGGAAGATTTCACATATTGATGTATTTAAATTCACATTCAATAGTGAAGTGAAATATGAGGAGAAACTGTGGGGTGAAACAGTGAGTTTCACAGAATGCTCCAAAGCTGTGAAATTCACTGCCTTCAATGTTCTGGTTTTGGTTCAGTTCAAGCTGAAACACGTTTGTCCAGAGCTATCTTCAGCACATAGCATAAACACTCCTATGTTTCTACAATGGTTTATTTTTATTCGAATCTTTATTCATAAGTTAATGGAAAACACCTCGGCTCAGTCGAGACTGCTGTAAAATGTCAATTTGACTCATTGATATCTTGACGACTATTTATGAAACCTTCCAAAGGGTCTTCACATATTCACACACAAGTTTCAGAACACTCTTGCAAAAGAGATTGTGCTATATAAATAAATTTGGTTCAATTTGATCTGATAATTGGAAACACCCATAAAATATCAATATAACATGTCACAATGAATATCCAACAGATAAAGGTTAGAAATCTGAAGTCTGCGTCAAGTTCCTCCGCTTCATTATATCTGATGGCAGATGTAGAATGATGAATGCTTTTCAAAAAATATTGGGAGAGTGAGAAAACTTACAATCAACTACCATCCCTCATTTGTTGCCGTTATTAAATGAGGTGCTGTGACGGCTCTGCAGCCACAAGGTTCTAGTTTCACATCTAGATAGAGGATTTGCAGGTTCTCTCCATGCATGCATGTGTTTTCGATGGAGGTTCCTGGGTTAATATTAAAGCAGTTAATGTGTTTCTCTATATGGTGCCTACCTGTGGTGTCTTCTGATGGACTGTAAACCTGACCCAGCTCTCAATTTGTAGAGCCTTCACTCCCAATTTCTGCAGCATTTTTTGTTTCCAGTTTCTTTATTTCTCTCCATTCTCACTGTCAGCATAACCGGTGATTTATTTAGTCTGTATTATGTCAACAAAGCTGGCCAAGAGCAGACCGGCTGGCCAATCTTAGCTGATGTTGAAACAAAAAGTCTGCATACAAACTACAAACTGCTAAAACAGCAGCAGTTTATATGCAGTTTTTGTTTATTTCTCAAAAATGACATTTCTAATGTTGGGTAAATCCAGCAGGCCTGTGGAAATCAGTTTCCTTTTTACCAAGAGGAAACAGCTTAACTTAGTTTTAGTTTAATTAACAACAACAAAAAAACAAGCAAACAAAATGCATTTAGGACATTTAAGGCTACATTTGAAATGCTTTGAGGCTGAGTTACCTGTTCACTGGTTTCTAACCGACAGTAAAAAATATTAGCCTAGCAGATAACATGAACCACAACACTGACACCTGAAGACCTCAGAATCCACCTGACAAAAAATGAGTTTCATATTCCTTTCCTGATGAATGTATGAACAGATTTATGTGCATTTTATTTGCCAGGACTAACTGAGTCTCTTCCATATTGAAGCAGAGAGCCTCAGCCTCGCCTCCCCCTTTATGACCATATTCTCCAAATCCAGGGCCCACATGTCTTAACGCAGGCCTCCATCTGCTCTGTCTGTGAGCGGGGAGAGGAGCCTGAGATGAGCAGAGGTCTGTTTTGAATGTTCCCCTAAGATTAACCTGTCTTTCAGTGAGGATGATAGCAGATCTGATCTGCCCCACTGATTGGATTTGAAGCCTCAGAGAGAGATTTAAATTACCTGCCCTCAATCCCTCTCCCCTTCCTCTGTCTAACGTAAGGGAATATTTACAGTAACATGATCAGAGACATGAGCCTTTGAAGATCAACAATTGAACCAATCGGAGAAGCAAGTATGACGACAGGGTTTGCTGCGTTCCCATCAACCCAGATAAGCACGCAGGCCTGCTCTGAGTGTGCTGTCGAATGTTTGAGCGCGTCGCTATGGGCAGTACCCACACACAAACTGCAGGCCCTACTGACTGCAGCCTCTTAAGCAATGACGAGCCAGCTGTTTAAACTGTCCAAGCCGGGTGCCATTAAAAACCACTTAGGGTTTTATAAGAAGGCAGACAGTTCTTTGTGAAATTTCTTTTGGTGCAAATGGGATGAAAATGTTTTTGCTTTCCCAGAAAAGGTCACCAAATGTAGCTTCCTTCTTGTATTTTACAGCCTTGACTTCTGTATTAGACTCTTCTGTCTTCTGGTATGGAAGCATTAAATGGATGAGAGACAATCCCACACTTTCCCTGAGGTTTTTCAAAAGTAGCAGTAAAGTTAAAAGGAAACGCAACATAGTTTTACATTTTTACAAGTGGAAATCTGACAAGATGTGGTGGATGTTTGTATTCATTTTATTTCATTATTCCCAGGCTTTGATCTCTGTCAGTTTGCAGTTGTTCCATAATCATCCCATTTTCTGATGAGGGGTGAAGTGGCGCTCTGTAAAATGTTTAAAGATTGGTGTGTTATTTTAGAAGCTTTAAACGTCTCCACAGTCTCCTCCCTGCTGTTTGTTCACTAATGCTCTCCAACAGACCTCTGGATTTTTGCTGAGATCAAATTAAACACAGCTGTACCTTTCACTAATTAAAGCCTGTTGGTTATGAGTAGTTTTATTTCGTGGCAGCAGAATGAAGAGGTCTGAGAAGAAAAGCATGTTGCACTTCTCTTATTTTTGCTTGTAAAAAAAATAGAACAATGTATCCTTCACAATTAAATGTGACTTTGTTTTGGTCTTTTTTTCAAAGAAGAAACAAACAAGGACATTTGAATAGATTAAAGCCTTTAAGGTTTCTGGTTGCGGCATCTCAATGCACTGAATTGATGGCTTTGCACCAATCCCTCATACTGAGGACCAATGTAGTGACAGTGGAGAGGAAACCTCCCCTTTAACAAGAAGAAACCTGACACAGTGTGAGCAGCCATTTGCCATGAACTTGATGTGATGCCCACTCCGTGTCTCCTACAGGGCCTGGGTCTCAGAGAAAAACAAAGCTAAACAGATCATCTCTGAGACAGTTTTTATGTTTATAGGATGAAACAGATCAGAAGGTCAGTGTGCCTAAAGGTATTTGTATTTTCTTCAACACAGGAGGATGTTTCCTAGCTACAAGGTTAAAGTGAGTGGCATGAACCCCAAGACCAAATACATCCTCCTCATTGACGTTGTCCCAGCTGATGATCACCGCTACAAGTTCTGTGACAACAAGTGGTAAGACTGGTTGGACCAAAATTCTCCCAGTAAACAATGGATCAGTAACACAGCAACAGAAATGATAAATCTGAGAGAAAAATTGAATTTTGTCTTCCAATTAAAGATTAATGTATCAGAAAAATCTCCTGACACCACCAGCACTCGGGACCACTGCCCTTTGGTTGATGTCCATAAACAGAACATTGCTCCTTCTATGGGCAACATATTTGATTTTACACAAAATACAAGTTTTACATTGATAGAGATGCAGCAAAGACAGACAGTGAGTTTCTGTTCTCAGCACACACATCAAGCACATAGATCTCTTCTTGTCCTATTTTGTAATTAATGCTACTTATTGGTGACAGTCCCCTGTAAAACAAAGAGTTCATTGAAATTTAACAAATTTAAGTCAATATTCTTTATGAAATTGTCCAACCTTTCTTTTGCATATAAAAATTAATGAACCATGATTGTAAAAACGGCATATGTACCAATCATGACAATCGTGTACAATTAAACTCCTAAATGTTACATATTATAAACATCAAAGTTCACTAAGATAGAAACAAAAATGAAAAACGGAGGCAGTAAAATCAGAAAAATTATCAGAAATAAACAGCTGCAGATGTTTGACAACTTAACATGGTTTGTATTTGTTTAAACTCACTCAATGAAACAAGCTTCTTCAAATGTGGCTAATTATTGCATAAATATTTAAATTCTCCACTTGCACCCTGGGACAAGCCCTTGCTTATTTTGGGGACAAACATGGGAAGATTCTGCGCTTTATAAAAAAAATGTAGGATGTTAGATATGAAGGAAGACCAAGAATAAGAAAAACTAGTCGGGACTCATACCATGTGAATGAACATTAAAGTTTGTGCTTGTTACTCATGGAACAGTAATGTGACAAATTGAAAAAATGTAAGGTGTGAATACTTTTGCTAGGCACTCTAATGCCAGAGCCTGGTGTTGGGGGGTTCTGCTGTTGTTCAGCAACGTATTTAAGTTAGATAATTGTTGATGATTCTGTTCACATTATCTGCAGTAGTTTAATGCTTCACCATAACGCATGAAGATGCCGTATCGGTAAACGGTACTTTCACAGCCCTTTGGATGAGATCGATGTATGCCATGCCTCAACACTCCTCACACATCCCAATATGTTTTCAGGATGGTGGCTGGGAAGGCGGAGCCTGCCATGCCAGGCAGACTCTACGTTCATCCTGACTCCCCTGCTACAGGAGCTCATTGGATGAGGCAACTGGTGTCGTTTCAGAAGCTTAAACTAACAAATAATCACCTGGACCCATTCGGACATGTGAGTACCTGACAGAGTGCATCAGGCTCTAAAAAATTATTTACATGTAGGTCTCATCTTAGTGAGTTCTAGAAGATTTAAATGTTTATTTAAAGTGTCAGTATTATGTAGGTTCCAGGCACACAGTATCACTTTATAGCACAATCAAGTAACTCATAGACAGTCACTAAAGTCACTAACTTTAGTTATAAATTTTCAAATTTTGAAATAACTGTTGAATGGATAAATGCTGACTTTGAAAAAACTCACGATTTTGATCAAATGTTATTGGGCTGGGTTGAGGTGGTTTTTAAAACATATTGAAACATATGTATTTCACAGAATTGTAGTGGAAACACTTTTTTTATGCATCACACAAGTCTCATGATCAACAGCTGGATGTTACTACTGGCAAAAACCACGAAGACAACAGGAAGTGACACCTTCACAAGAACTTTGGATTCAACATGCCCACAGAGTTGAACATCTGATTCTAATGTGCTGAATCCAAAGGTCTTCTGTAAAACCATCAGCTACAATTTTTGCAAAACACCCAGATGCAGCTGCTCCTTTTAAATGGCCTGTTGCTCCACCACCTGATGTCTCTTCTGATGGCTGACAGATGATGAGTGTAGCATCACAGTTGAATTACAAAACTTACATCCATCACTTCCATGATTTTTAATGACTTATTATGTGAGCAAGCTTAGTCACACATGATTTCAATTAAATTTCTTGTTTGATAGAAGCACAGTGATTGGGACACTAGCAGGATAGACAAAGATTTGTGCACATTTGTCATGGAACCAGCTTATGTTACCTTCAGTTGCTATGAAAATAGTATGTGTATCAATCATGACTTCAAAGAAATTAGAATGCAAAATATAATGCCTTTGAATTGGGCCTCTGTCTATGGTTCTCACTCAATCCACCTTCAGGAAGTCATCAGAACAAGGCTCCTCTACTAACAATAGAAAGGCTAACTGCATTCACAAAGAAAAATATGAGAGTTGGAAGTAAAGCAAAGGAAGTAAAGTAGCTATTTTTTTTATAACAACAGTATTTATGTTAAAATCTTGCCCTGGCTATACACTGTTTTTTCCTTTTTCTGTTTTTATATATTTCATATTCTATTTACTTGATATGATTGTCTTTCACTTTAATGATGTTACAAAAAATGATCCATGATGGGGCAATAAAGGATAATTATATTCTATTTTTCTAAACCCTCGAGGAGAATGAAGACCTAAAATAGTGGAAGGTTTAAAATAACTGAGCACATAACAGAAACAATAGAACATGACGCTGATATTACAGCTTTTGTCCCTAAACATTGTGCTGAAAAAACTGCATAACATTATCACGTTTCCCAGACCAGAGTAAGTAAACAGATGGACAGACAGGAATGAGTAGATCTGCTCTCATTTATTTAAAATACATCTGCTGGTGATTATTACACACACCCACACACACAAGTTTATATTTCTAGCCATATAAAGACTTTGTATTGATTTTTATTGGTTTTATAAATGGTATTGTTCCCTAATCCCAACCATCACTAATCTCTTCTTTACCCTATCCTCAACCAAAACTAAATTTACACCTTGCCCCAAAACAGCACTGCTCTGTATGGGGCCTGAGATTTGAGCTCCATAAGGAGCAATGGGTTCTCACAGGATATTATTTGTTAGACAGACTTAACAATGTATTAAATACAATGATTCACTTTGAACATTTATAACATTCTTCCAGAATTAGAAATCCACTTGAGTCTGTTCCAAAATCAAGTCCATTGAGTTTGAACAGAAAAAATTAATAATAAGAAGAGTTGATGTTCTTTAGAATAAGCTGTCTACACAAACATATTTATTAATGACATTTCAAAGAGAAAAATCAAATCAGTTCTGTCTAATTGTTTTAGGATAAACAAAACCAAATAGTCATTCAAGACAGTTTCTTCATTTCAAGTGAAGCTTAGGTTATTTACTCTAAAGCCTAATATTGCCAGAGTGACAGCGTGATGAGCAGGACCATGATGGAGGGCCTCTTCATGTGCTGACTTCTAAATGATGGAATGGAAGGAGGGAACAAGTGCAGAGGAGAGTGTGTGAGGAGTGTGACTGTGGCAGTTCTCCCCAGGGGAACTCTGGGATAGCTTGTCTGAAGCCATCCCATCACTGGGCAGGCTCATTAGGTTCATAACCTCTCAGATCAGTGGTGGAGCCTGTTGTCACATTGGGTTGAGAGCCTGGGCAGTGAAAAGGTCGAGTAATGAGAACAGATGAGAGGCCGAGGAGGGGACGACGGGACCAGGAGGTCTGCTGCTGTTCACAGAGGACAACAGATCCCCATGTCTGCTTATTATCTTCATTACACAATATAGGACAATCATTCTCATCTTCATCTCATAAATCTCTAAACAGCACAATCACAACTCTGAGAAAATTCACATGTGTGGTTACGGAAAGTATTCAGACCCCTTAAAAATATTTTCACTCTCTGTTTCACTGCAGCCATTTGCTAAAAATCAAAAAAGTTGATATTATTTCTCATGATTCCCATCAGCATTCCGTCTTGACCGAAAAAAACAGAAATGTAGAAATTTGCTCAGTCTTGGGTAGAAGCACCTTTTGATCTAGTACAGCCATGAGTCTTCTTGCGAATTATGTAACAGGTTTGTCACACCTGGATTTGGGGATCCTCTGCCATTCTTCCTTGCAGATCCTCTCCAGTTCCATCAGGTTGGATGGTGGATGTTGGTGGAGCCATTTTCAGGTCTTATGTTGTTGGAAGGTGAACCTTCAGCCCATTTGAGGTCCTGAGCACTCTGGAAGAGGTTTTCTGACACAATCTCTCTGTACTCATCTTTGCTTCAGTTGTCATCCTGTCCATGGTTCTGAAAATATACCCATAGGACGATGCTGCCACCACCATGTTTCACTGTTGGGATTGCAGTGGGCAGGTTTTCTCCACTCATACTGCTTAAACTTGAAAAGTTTAATCTTTGTCTAATCAGAGCACAGAATCTTATTTCTTAGTCTGTGAGTCTTTCATGTGTATTTTGGTAAACTCTATGCAGGCTTTCATACGTCTGGCACTGAGGAGAGGATTCCATCCAGCCCTCCACCATAAAGCCCTGACTGGTGGAGGGCTGCAGTGATAATTGACTTTGTGGAACTTTCTCCCATGTCCATCTCTGGAGCTCAACCACAGTGACTTTTGGCTTCTTCTTTAGGTCTCTCACCAAGGGTTTTCTCACACAATTGCTCAATTGGATGAAAGAGTTCTGCTCATCCCAAACTTCTTCCATGTAAGGATTATGGAGGCCACTGTGCTCTTTGGAGCCTGAAGTCCTGCAGAAATTCTTTTGGAACCTTGGCCAGATCTGTGACTTGCCACAATATCGTCTCTGTGCTCATTGGGCAGTTCCTTCCACTTCATGATTCTCATTTGCTCTGACATAAACTGTGACAGGCATGTGCCTTTCCTCATCAAGTCCAATCAGTTTATTTAAACACAGTTGGGCCACAATGAAGGTGTTGAACCATCTGAAGGAGAAGAAGAAACTGACAGTATGTGAGTTCAATATGAGTGTCTGAATACTTATGACAAGTTCTAAGTTTATCAGTTTGTCTTTTTTAATAAATTTGCAAACATTTCTACATTTCTGTTTTTTTTCTGTCAAGATGGGATGCTAAGTGATCATTCTTTAGAAATAATATGAACTTCTTTGAATTCAGCAAATGGCTGCAATGAAACAAATTGAAACATTAAAAGGGTCTGAATACTCATTTAATTAGCAAAGACTTGTTCTTCACGTCGAGTCTGAGGTGTTATCAAGTCCTATCATCGTGTTACAAACTTTCCAAAGACTCTGATTAGATTCTAGTTGATACCAGGCTGTGAGGTCAACTTGTGACCTTTACGTGAGGGTGGCAGCATAAAAGAGACTAATGAAAGGAAAAAGTTCTAAGTTTATCTAGCTACAAGCCATATAAAGATGCAGCAAACATGTGGAGGTTTTGGTCTTCATACAAAAAGCCATTCTTGGTGGAAAATACTCCAGATGACCTTGGACACGCCATCCCCGCTGTGAAATCTGGTGGTGCCAGCATCATTACATGGTAATGCTTTTCAGGAAATCTTGTCAGAGTTGCAGGGAAGATTGATGAAACTAAAAACTTGTTAGAGACTGCTGAGTACTTGAGACTGTTGTGGAGGTGAAATTCTGCAATTCTGTTCTGAGAACAGGTTTAGATGTGTGGAAGTGCTGTATTGTTTTGGTTGGAATTATAACTAATCCCAGGCTTTATTATGAATAATTTAGACTTTTAGATAAATAATAACCACCTAGTGGAAGCATGATAGCATTTTGCAAGCCTTGAGGAACTCACTAGACATCTAGTCTTCCTGTAATGATGTTTTGCTGTAGCTTAGGAATTTAAAGGGGCGTTATTATGTATTTTGGCATGCAGTGCCATTTCGTTGAACAATCAAGTAACTGCAAAATTCAGTTGTTATTAATATGCTATATGAAGAAAAAACTGCTTAAAAGAAATCTGACTGATAAGTAATTTAGCACCTTTATATTGGGCCTCTGTTTCTTTAAAACCCCCTGATCTTTTTGAAACTCCACCTTCAGGAAGTCATCACAACTTGGCTCCTCTATTAACCCTTTGATAATGTTTTTACCAGCCTTTCATTGAGAAGTAGCCCTCATAATGAGTTCAGCTGTTGCACGGTTCCACCAGGTGTTTGCTCATTGCTGCTCGCTAGTCTTCTCTTCTCTTTCGCCATGTGTTCTTCATGGACCTGTTTTATGTAGATAAGCCTGGGAAGGTTTTCTTCTCCTCACCCTCAACTGGAGAAATGTTATATTATTGAAAAAACGTGTTGTGAAACTTGTTTAAAACCTTTGTTGTCTGAACATCAAACATGTTCTCAGTAGAACATGTCGCCATAAAATGATATGATATATTTTTAATGACTTGAAAAAGCTGTCACAGATGAAATTTCACATTTTCTGCTTTCTCTTTTATTTTGGATTTAGTCAAATGAATAGGTGACTTCAAAACAGAATTTTTTTTTCCTTCAAAAAAAGTCACTAGAATCAAAAATATGTTAATATATAAATATATACAAAATCTCAATAAGTTTAGTGTGTCAAAGAACATATAAAATAGGAACTCGCTCTCATTGCCTCCAGTGGACAACAGCAGTACAACATGCACATGAACAGAAAGTGACAGGATACAGAACTTGTAGCTGTACTTTTCAAAGTAAATTAGGAAACATGAACATATAACACAAAATAACTCAAAGACAAGTTAAGATGAGAACATATTCTAACAGAGTCTGAGTAGTTGTGGTATCTTTGCAACTGGAATCAACCAGGTGCTGACAAAACAGACAGAAAATGAGTTTTTTTTTTTTTGGAAAGATGTTAGTGTTTCAGAAAGTCTTTTTGCCATGGCTGTCTGGTTCATTCTGTCTGTATGAAGAGAAGAGGTGAGCTCCACATAATCAGGTAACGGCAGGTACGGAAGCTGCAGAGGCCAAAACACTACACAAACTACTGTATATTCTTCCCTTATTGCAGATATCAACCCTGGTAAAAACCAGTCCCATGTCCTGCGCTACTGGCCTCATACTGAGGGTTTGGACTCTCAGCTTCAAGACCAACAAAAAAACACTATATTGGCAATCTTGACCAACGAGAAAGATATATCAACAGAATTGCTCTGTCGGGATTGACTCATATAAGATGGAGAATATAGTTTAGCTGATTTATTCATAGTCACTGTCATGGCAGTTAGTTACAGATTCCTACCAAGATGTCAGTCAGCTACAAAGTTCCAGGAAATGTGATGTCATATGATAACTATGTATTGCCAATGTTTGCCCGTGGGATATGTAGCGCACCAGTTTGATGCTATGAAACTTACTGGAAATTGGAGGAAGTTCAAAGCATCTCTTCCATCCATCATAACAGGCAAGGATCAAATCTCAGACTCCAATGTCTTTCTGCCGACTTTCTGAGCAAACGGCCACACAAAGAGGAGCAGCAAAAGCAAATGAGATAGATTAGCAGAGCTTACTGTGTTATCCAGGACATGTTACTGAATAATGTAATCTGTTATTCTGCTATGACCATCATGAGAGTGTCGTACATTCCATTTTCCATGTGCAGGATGAGAGTTTGAGCAAAGGTCTTTAGTCAGGGGCTACCTCATATTAGCTGCAAGATTGACTGCTACTGGAGATCCTTCATGCCCACAGTGTCCCCATCCACAACAACTCTTTGAAGATATGTCTCTGGATGATGAGTAACAACATTTCATTTTCTGAGATAAATAAAATACTTGAATTAAATCACACTATTATCTCTTTCCACTGAGTTTAATGTCACTCATTCCATCACACAACTCCGGCTTGTAAATGGTGAATATCAATTGAAAGTATGGTGGCAGGATTTTAATATAACTTTTGGATAAGTTGAACTTTTCAACTGTATATTCTTCCCTAAGAATATACAGTAAGTTGAAAAGTTGAACTTTTCAACTTATCCAAAACTAACACCATGGTGAATGAAGAAAAACGAACACAAGGCTAATCTTTTTCTTTAGACTGTCACTGGCAGTCCAGGAGTTTCAGTATCACCCACAGTCAGCAGAGCAGAGATAGGAAAATAATGAGCTTATTTCAGTCTTCAGAGCAGAAAATAAGGAAGGAGTCGTTCAGTGTTCGAGGAAAGCGTAGCAGGCCATGGCCTTTTCAACCTTTGCCTCTCTTTGGGAGCCCCCTTGAGGTGAAGGCTTCTCAGGAGAGTCTAGAAAGGGAGGAGGGGGAGCGGAGCTTGATGTTCATCATGGCTGACAGGGCTGGACCAGTGGTGACCCTGCTCTACTGCTGCTAATGCCTGACTGGGCACCGCGTGGAGCTGCAGTGAGCAAAGGGATGTCAGTCAGCTGACCTGCAGCCACCTAACAACCTAAATTCACAACACACGCCACCTGCTATACAGCGCTCAGAGTCCCCATCAAGTCAGATGAAATATGCAAAGATGGAGTTAATCACGTATCTCAATGACTCCAACAGCTTTCTGGTCAAAAGCACCAGATTCATAGAAATATTTAACAGGAAACACTTTTTCTGTCTGATATAGATTTGATCCAACAACTCTGAAGTTCACCTCTACTGCATCAAAGCTGAATCACAGTAATAAGGGCATGAATCACCTACCAACTACATATTTCACTACCATCACCTATCAGATTCTGAGACAGAAAACTTTGTGAACTTTGCTTCAGTATGCAGTCTGTAATCATAGTAACCACAGAACATAGTACACCGTGTGCACAATTATTATGCAAGTTATAGTTTTTGAGGATTCATTTTGTTGTTAAACAAGTACAACTCACTCAGTCAATGCCAAATGTTAATAAACTCTAACAATTTCAAGAGTGCTGCATCCCTCTGACTTTTTACAGTTTTGAACGTTTCAGAGGCTCTTAAATCTATTTTTGGCCCATTTTTCCTGAGGAAAAGAAGCTGCCTAATAATTCTGCACACCTTGGTATATATGTTGATGTCCGTAGGCCCCGCCCTCCCTCATTAAACAAATAGACATCAGCTGATGTTTATACTCAATAAGCATTCAATTTTATACAACTTGAAGATGGAAAATATGCATGAAAATGATGTTATGATCAAATCTAAAACTTTCCTATTAATTGTGCACACGGAATAAACAACAGTGGGGGTCTGTCATAGAGACGTGGTCTCACCTTGGTGCAACTAAATGTGACTTCTTCCCTTTCCCAGATCATCCTCAACTCCATGCATAAGTACCAGCCCAGGCTTCACATTGTCAAAGCTGATGAAAACAATGCCTTTGGATCAAAGAACACTGCCTACTGTTCTCACGTCTTTCATGAGACGGCCTTCATCTCAGTAACATCTTATCAGAATCATAAGGTATACAGATGTGATTTTTTATTCTTCATACAGTCAACAGCTACAGATCTGAGTAATAAAAATCAATAGATTTGCTTAGAATGTCCAGAAAACAACCAGTTCTACTTCAGTTACAAGAGACCAAGGAGCATGTCTGCAGAGATGAAGATAAGATGTTAGAATATATCCACAAATGTGTGCAATAATCTATCAGAAGCTTCCAAAGCCATGACATCATCATCTGGGCTTTCTCCCATTGTTTAAAGAGACGTTGATGATACTGTAGGTAATGTTTGGATTTTGAAGACACTATTAAATGCATTTTTAATATTCTTCCTCACAGTATTCTACCTTTTGGCAAATAGAAATAGTTTTTGTGATTCTAACTGACATATGACACGTTTGCTTTGATTTAACTTCAGACAGTGATAAAGAAAAGTGTATGTGTCTTTATTCATTGTATCAAAACTTTTAGTTTCAACAATAGATATATGTATTTCAGTATTTTTGTCAAAAATTTTGACAATTATGTAGACAGAGCAATTTTTTCAATTATTTAGCAACATTCTTGACAGCAGCATGTGTGGCATTCCCCCTATATTTGGATGTGATGTTTCATACAGAGCTTTTAATACAAGAAAAGTTATTGTGTGCCATATCCAGGGGCGCCGTATAGGGGAGAAAAGTTATGATAATTCTAAGGGTCCCTGGCCAACTGGGGGCCCTTCACATTTTATTTATTTATTTTTTGTTCATAGAAATAAAATAAAAAATAATTAAAAATTGGGGCTCTGTACAATTACAAAATTAATCATATTATTTTTAGCAGTAAAAATTTTATGTTCCCAATGACTCCCAGACCCAAAAAACACATGAGAGATAATCTGTGAAAAATCTATTTCCTCTTCTTTCTCAAAATGCTAGAAACAACAAGTCAGTTGTGATTGACAGTTTTACTGCTTTTGCGATGCATTTGATGGGTCAGATAGACACAAAAAAAAGTGCCCCGGGTTCTGGGGGGACAAGACTCCTGGCTGCGCCCCTAGACATATCTAACATGGTCATAACTGCATCTGACTGCTGATCCAAATATTTCTTAGATTAGATGGCTCTGCTGTTGGTAGCTGCAGACTGTGCTGCTACTCTGTATCGCATTACATTGTCACACTCATTCAACACTCCTGTGGTTGACGAGTGTTCAACCACAGGTGCTTCCTTTATATCTGCAGCTTCCTGAAGAATTGGATAAGAGATGAGTCAGGGGTCCCACCCCCCATTCTATGTCTGAATCTCAGATCTCAGTTTCTGATTAAATTTGAGATCTGTTAGAAACAAAACTATGACATTTGAAGAATTGCTGAGATTCTGTTCAATACAGTAAATTTGCTTATCAGTTCTAAATATTAGCTCACTTACTGATTTAACCCAAAAAGTTTGAGTTGTACTAAAATGTTTTTTTTAGATCACTCAGCTGAAGATTGAAAACAACCCCTTTGCTAAAGGGTTCCGAGGCAGTGAAGAAGGAGACCTGCGTGCTTCCAGACTAGAGGGGTACGTTTCTGGAGTAAGCCACCAGTGACGAAATTATCTCATAATTCCTTTTACAAATTACAACTCACTCTGTGGTTGCAGTTTGCAGTTTTCTGGCCCATTACCAATCCTTAAAAATCCTGTTCTACAGATTCTGATTTTGGCCGATACTGATTTTTTTTTTGTTTTTCGTCTGAAACATTGCTAAATATAATAAGAAAGTCACTGAGTTGGCAACAGTGGGGTGACCATAGTTAACAGCAAATGTGCAGACATGACCTGGTGGGCAGGTCTGTCAGTCAGACTCTCTCATGGCAGAGCAAAAGAAGACAGCGGCTGATTTTCAGACCTTTGCCAAGATTGATAAGATGAGTGGATAAATTCAGCTGTAAGTATTAACTGATCACAGATTCCCAAAAACCAGGGAACTCAAGGCCGATTCATTGGTGCACACCTAACTCATACCCTTGATACTAGCATACGTTTTAGTTCTGTAAGACTGTTTTGGACAGAATCTGTACTTCTCTCTGGAAATGTTGACTTTTCAATGAATGTCTGACAAAGCCATTCTGTTCCTGATATTTAGGAAAGATTATCCAGTCATTTCTAAGAACATGGTTCGTCAGAGGATCATCTCCTCACACAGCCACCTGGCAGGGAAGCTCCGGGCTGGAGTACTGACCAGCCATGCTCAGGTCCTGTCTTCTTATCCGTATGACACAGGAGTTTCTTTGTCAAACTTAGAATCCCAGGATTCTCTCTCCAACCACTTTCCTCAGAGCAGAGATCCCAGTCTAGTTTACCACTGCTTCAAACACAGAGGTATGTTTCTGTTTTTATAAGGAAATAATTCAAAATCAAACACAGTACGCAGCGTTTCACATGTCAGCTGACTATTGCTCTGCAGATAACAGCCGACAGCTGGAGCTCGGATGCAAGCAACCATATCTGGAGTCATCATCTGTGATGTCAGAGGAGCATTTCTTCCATTCTGCTCCCTCCTATGAGTCGCCCTTGCTCTCTCGTCCCTACTGCGGCGAAGCCATCACTGCCAGAGAAGCTTGCATGTACAGCGGAATGGAGGCCCAGCCCGGAGTGGGGCCGGGGGCAGCAGAGAAAGACGAGCGGACCATCTCTCCTTCTGTTAGCTGCAGCATGTGGGCCCCAATGCAGCCATATTCCCGCTATGGTGTGGAGGCCGTTCCGTACCAGCCCTTCACCTCTCACCCCTTCTCCAACACCACAGCCGTCCACCCCGTGCTGCCACAGCCTGCCTCAGCAATGTTACCCCGGCCGCAGGCCGACCTGGGCATCTACAATTCAGCTATGGTTCAGAGGGGTCTGCCAGTCATACCACAGTCATCCTCCTCTTCATCCTGCTCTCCAGTTCTCACTGGTTCCAGTGATGTAATAAGTCATCAACCTTTGTACCACAAAAAGTCAGGCTCCGCACTCCAGCCTCTGAAAGAGTATCCACCGTGTTCTAGCCAGAGAATGATGCCTATCCGAGATTCCTCCCATCAGTACCAAGTGGGGCTGAGTAATGCAGGAAGTCACTGGACCGACAGCTAATGTGTGGATAAACCCATCAGTTCAGGTGAGACGTTATGAAAGGTTTCTGAAACCCCGGAGCGGCTGAAGATACTGAAGTTCAGGTGAGGTGATACTGAAGAGCAGTCATGGTCTCTGATGAACTGCACTGCACATCTGTAATCTATGTGGGAACTGAATTGTATACTGATTGTATACTGAACGGTCAGTACCCACCTCTCCACTTATACTGGTATATAACAGATGCTGCAAAGGCTGGAGAGGACTCTGAGACTCGAATGTGTGAGAAGCACAATGTGTCTAACACACACCCAGGTCTCAACAACAAGCCAGGAGGAGACACACAAAATATGGAACCAGGAAGATGAAGAAAACATAAAAAGGGGAAATGGTCAATGACATTACTATCAATATTTTCTGAGTTGCCTTTTAAAGTTGCGGTATACAACTTGTAAAAAAATATTTTTACATATTTGTTGAAAACGTTGTTCCATGTTGTAACAGTGAGACAAATAATCTGAGAAAAAAAATCCACTCCTCTGCCTTCTACCAGAAACAACCAATCAGAGCCCAGAGGTGTCTTAGTTCTGTCAATCATCCTACATGTGGTGCTGCTCATCCCTCCTTCTATTTTCTCTTTGCTCGCTGCTGTGCTATACCTAGCACAGCCTGTCCTCTATACTAAGATTAGTTAGCATGGCCAGCCAGGACTGTGGACGATATATAGTATAGAATACTCTATTATTTATTTATTAGGCTTCTTGATTTGGGACTTGAGTTTGAATTTCATACTACAAACAAGAAAATGCCAGCTGCTCTGACAATAAGAAAATAATTGAATCCTTGACTAAATGGCTTGCCTGGAATGGTAAATTGTTTCTCCACCATTAGCACATTTAGCAGCAAATACATGTGCTCCATTGACAGCACTTAGACCCTCCTCCTGGCTCTGATTGGCTGTTTTGCTCAGGAGCAATGTTCCGTCTAAGCTGCGCGCCTGCGCAATCGCGCACTGCTCACATATTCTCAGCGCACAAGAAAATCTATGTAGCGCATAAAATAAAGTCCAACGTAAAGTGGACATTGAGCTCAGACATCAGTTTTGACTATGGACCAATAAAAAAATTTTTCCGTTCTACTTTGCGATCGAACTCAGTGAGTGACAGGAATCCAGCCAATGACACGATACGGTTCACTTTCGCTACGCAGCCAATCAGCGCATGCTGATTGGCTGCCTGTACGTGAGTTACGTGCCTTGGTCATATGCGCCGTGCAGGTGAAAATAGTGCTGTAGAGTTAAGAAACGTGAAAGCCATCACCTTATCATGTCTACATGGGACATCCACTCACCAAACCAAAGTAAAAAAAAAAAAAAAGAAATGCACTTCTTCTAAGATCGAATGGAATCAAATCAAATGAAAAGAATGTTCTGCATTTGATATTGAAATGTTGAGTTCAGACTTTTCACTATGGATAAGCAGACATTTGGTCACATGCAAAGAAGTATGAGGCCATTCTCCTCCACCCACAGATTATGGAGGCCATTAACAGTCAATATGCTGAATTCAAGAACATAAAGCAAGAAGCAGACTGACCATCAACCTGGGCTAAGTGTATAACCACTGGAGAAGTGAGAAGGGCAGGCGTGAAAAAAACTGTAATTAAATATTTTACAAGAATTTATACTGCATCACAAGCTACAGAAAACATTTCATTGTGCAAAATGTGAATGTTTTAATATGAACAAACATTTATGTCTGAAAGGTGTAATGTCTCATTTCTCACCCTGGCTGAAGCAGGACTCTTATAGCATGCATCTCATGAACAGCAATGTTTTATGTTCTTTTTTTATTATTTTAATTGAGCAAATCACTTAAATTAAAAGCAAACGAATGAAAATTGCTGATGTAATTTGATTTTTTTAATAAGCCATGCAACTTTCTATGATCTCAGATTTATGATACTTGTGCGTGGCCACGCCGTGTACACTGATGATGCTCACAGTGGTCCTCAGTGTGCCCAGGAAGCTTGTGTGTACGCCCAGACACATGAACAATTAGAGGGAACATTGCTCAGGAGTGGTGCATTTCTCCAGAAGTGGTGGAGATTGATCTTTTCACAGATTATCTGTCTCACCACATGGAGACAGTTTTAACAAATATGCACAAAGCATATGTTTTATAAAATCTGGATACTTCAGCTTTAATGCCACAATATGTTTTCCTAGAATGCTTTGTTACATACTGCTGTTGTCAAGTTATTGAATATATTGTTGAGAAACATCTGAAGTATTATTGCCATGATACCTGCATGTGGTTAGTGATACCATGACAGGTGACTCTATAATTAAGGGTTCCCAGGTATTCCCAGGGTAATTATATATTTACAGTTCTGATAAAATAAAAATTAAAACAATGCATGAATAAATAAAGAATAATAATTGCTTTGTTTTCAGGTTACAATGTGTCCGTTTGGATTTTGGTAACAAACTTTATGCAGAAAACAATAATATTTAAATGGATTTAAAATAATTATAGATTTTAAATATGAAAAGTTGATATGTTGCTGTTTCACAACTAACTGAATGATTGATAAAGATGCAGCACAACATATTTTTATTTAGCTTGATCTCTAGACATCTGAGCTGAGATAAAGGACAACATCCTCCAGATGTGACTTCACCATCTCGACCTAACATGGATGATGAAGGAACGCCCATAACAGGAATGAGAGAATAGATATTCTGAATGTCCTTCTTATATTATAACTCTTAGAGAAAAATTAGAATCAGTGGGTCAAAGCTTTAAATCAATCAGCCGAACAAAAAATCTGCATCCAAATCCAGAGTTTGTGATTATAACAATTCATTTGCCTGTCAGAGCCAAAGAAACTGATAGATTCCTCTCATTTGTTTATTTGGAGGATCAGCAGTCAAACATTCAGAACATTCAAGTAAACTAAAAAAGTTTAAATAAAAAGGAAAAAGCAACTGTTCAAAATCTAGCTGTGTGCATAAGCAGAGTAGTTTTACACTTATTAACAGCATTTTTGCACAAGTTCATGTCTTTTCCAGCAGTTTGATTGGAACCATTTAATTTCCTGTCAGCTTTATTTGGTGTTATTTTCCTAATGGACTGAGCTTGGTGTGACTGTCACCACACAGTGGACAGGAATAGGGAAGATTTCTTTCCTATTGCCAGAGTATCCTGGCTGCTTAAGTCATGTCAAAACATTTACGGTCTAGGAATTCCAGATTGCACGTCTGAGAAATGTTAGAAACGGAAAACTCTTGAATTTTTACAGATCCTGGTGATATGCAGTCAGTTTTATTGAAGTAAAAAAGATTACTTCAATAATCTTTGTTTAAAGATGTGAGTGAGTTTGATATTCACTCACACTAGTTTTCAAAAATAAAACCAAGAAAATGAAGACAGTTTATCTAAAAAGAGAAAAATGTTTACACTGTTCTGGTCAATGTTTTTCTTCTCTAACAATAAAGAAAATACTCAACAACACTGTGAGAATGTAGATGATGTGTAAAGAGTTAAATTGAAACAGTTTCCCACTTCCTGGTGTGATTTAAGTGCATGAGCAGTTATTTCTGTCATTGAAAAAGAATTTCTATGCAGTAGAATCATAAAGAATTTTTTACAGTTTAGTATCAATGTGAGTCAGAATGTGAAATAGATTGCAATTAAAAGTGAAGTTGTGAAAAGTCTGCTGAAAGGAGAGAAATGACAGCAGGATGGGATGATGAGAGCGCTGTGTGCTGCTTTACCTCCTATCGAATCATGAGTTATTCAGGTTCTGTTTTACATCAGCACCTCTTCCTCTATCTCCCTCTTAGCTGTTCACATGAAGGGAGTTCTGCTCTCAGAGCAATCAACAAATCATCAACTGGCAATCTTCAAATGTGGAACCTGATAAAAAATCAGGAATACCTGAGATGAGTAAAGCACAGTTTCTTGCTCTGATCAACTTTGCATAAACACTCATACTGGGCTTTTGTTGTTGTTGGTGTAAATCATATTTCTATTTAGAGTACAAAATAAAATTCAGAATATTTTTTCTGAGCAGTTAAAATGAAATTTTGTCCGTGTTTTTATTTTACAATTTATTTGAATTCAAGCAAGAATCACTTTATATTATCAGTCTTAGAAAAAAACAAATCAGCATCCTGCTTTTTAAACCAAAACAAGGAAGGCTAAATATATATATTATATACAAGCACATGTAAAACAATGACCAGCAAAAAACCAGTACTAATAATCCAACAATCAAAAACAAAACAATCAGTTTCATTAAAGGGTCAGCAGCACCATCCTGCTGGAACCAGTGGTGTTGGAAGAGTACCTGTTGTTCAGACTGACTCAGCGGTCAGCATGTAAATTACATCCATTCCCTCTGACCACCAAACCGTCTGCATCAGCTGATTTCTGCTCTGTGCAGTGGAAAAGGAGCTGCAGGTACGCCTCTCTCTCCTAATGTCAACTTTACATCTGATCTCAGTCTTATAAAAATAATACATAACTACATACATACTAAAAAAGAAGAATTCTGTACAACACAAATGACAAACAATACCAACTGAAGACAAAACATTTACTAATTGATGGTATTTATGGGAAAGTGACAAAGTACAGATGAACACAAAAGCAAATGGTGTGTTCAATGCTGCGAAGAAAAATCTTCCGTTTCAGTTTTTCCAGAAACCAAAGCGCAGAGGTGGACTGCAGCAGGGGCCAGCCACATCTGCAAACAACAAAAGGATAAAGTCAGATTTTCAATTAAACGTTAAGATATTACTTTACTATTTTCTTGAACTTCTTTGCTGAAATCCAGCAGTAAACCCTGCAGAGTTTCAGGTGAGGTTCCCTTCACATCAAAAGGAAAGTAGCTGACACCAAAGATCCCTGACTTTGGTTTAATAGACTAAGTTTTTTTTTTAGTCAAAGCTTTAATGGTGCATTAAAGAGCAGGAAAGCCATATTGAAATTTATGTTATCTGACTTTCCACATAAAAGCCCAGTCACTCTCATTAGAAAAATCCCATGTTTGAGCCCCTCACGGAGCGCAGTGAGCATGCTGCGTGTGTATCTTCAGTAAGAGGAGCTGGGTATTAGAGCCCATCTGGAAGTCATTGACGGTAGAACTGGCTGTTTCCCTCTCCCCTGCATAGCGTTGCCCTTCCCTACTGTCGTCCCATAATCCCACCTAACAGCCGCCTGGGCTTGGCTGCTCCATTCCGACACAATGATGGGCTTAAATTGGCCTTCTTGTAAAAAAGAAAGGGCTTTGGCTGTTTAGCAAGCCACTCCAAAGGGACACTTTAAATATCTAAGAGGGATTTAATATCAAGTCCATTAGGGTTTTTCTGGAGCCCTGTAAATAGTCAATTAGTGGATGATTTTGATTTGATCCACATGCAGAAATGTTTTATTTCTGCATGTGGATCAGAGAGAGTCTAGGAGAGATAAAGCTCACCGTCCATGTGTCACAAACAAAAGGTCACATTTACAGCTAAGTAAAATATAATGAGCATGTGCAGCTTTTCCCAAGTCATCTTTGTTATGCTCCTTCATAAAAAAAGATTAATGGTGTTCTGGAGGCCAGAAGAACACAAGAGTCACAGAGGGATTACAACAGGGAGCCCAGCTCAGAGGCCCGGGAGGCTGGAGAACTGGGCCAAAAGGGCACCGGGTGGGTTCAAAGCTGCGATGGAGGGACATTAAACTGTTAGCGTGTGTGATCAAACATGCAGATGGCTGGAAGCGATCTGAACCACAGCTAAATCTGCAGGATAAATAAGATCTGCGTGTTTTAAACTGGCTTCAGATAAAAGCATCTAAAAAACGAATAGCTGTTAAGAGGAGTTATTGGATTAATCATCCAGGAAGCAGAGAGGCACTTTATTTATTTCTGTACTGGAAATAAACTGATGTGAAAACTATTTGTCCCCTGCTGGTTTCTTCTATTTCTTCTTTTTCACAATTAAAAGCTTCAAATCATCAGATTTATTTTAATATCAGACAAACCAGAATAAATACAAAGTGGCCACTTTGAAGTGATGATTTCAGTAATGAATGGAGCTATCCAAATCAATTTGGCCCCAGTAGCAATTTCTGTTATGAGTAAACTGGGTAGCTGCCCAGGGTGGCTTCTCTAGGGTGGCATTAGCTGCTCCTTTAGTAAACATTTGTAAAGTTAAACCTGTGTCCTATTTTTGTCTTATTTTATAAATGGTCAAACTCTTCAATTAACGTTTTTTAGATTTTTCTTGACTGCTGAGCAGTGAAATTTGCAGCTGGATGAAAATGCAAAATACACATAATTTTGTAAATGTTCACTTATCAGTGCAATTTATTTTAATTGCATTTATTTCTATTTTTGTACGTGTATTATGTACGTTTAATTGCATTTTATACAATATATTTGTGCCTTGCTATGTGTCTTTATAGTAGTATTCTAGTTTCTTTCTCACAAAAAAATTTATATATATGTGTGTGTGTATGTGTGTGTGCGTGGGTGTGCATGTGTTTTAAGTGTTTTCCTAAAGAACAAAAATTCTGATTTAATATGAGAAACTACAAACACTCCAACTGTAGAGCTACTCCTCCCAACTGTGATATTATAGTGTATATTTAAAAATGTACTAATATTAAACAAAGGCATCTAATCATCCTCCTGATAGTCCTGTATTCTAGAGGTATATTAATGTGTTAGATTAACAAGCGCAGCAGCCTGGCGGGACACCAGGCAACTGAAAACCCCTGCCAGTCCAATTTCCTTTAATCCGTATGACACAGTTCAGGCATAGCTGTGGGCTGGTAAGGTTCTTTTCTTCCTTCTGCTCTTTTTCAGGTTAGAAACGGAAGGTAACTGAGTAGGCCTGAAGCAGCGCTCTGTAAAATCCACCACAGCATTTTCTTTCAAGCACTA